CTATATGCCCAAAAAATTGACGAGAGCCTGATTCCACCACGCTGCCTCACATATTTTGAGGAAGCTCACATTTCAGGTGTAAGAGCGTAGTCTGTTTATTTGTTTGTCTGTTCGTTTCACTCTTGCTTCGGGGGTATAACTTGCAAATTAATCTCGGAGAGTACGCTATTTATTTGGTTTATTTTCCCAAGTATCGAGAGCTGGCTTCTTACCCTGAAAAGTTTCACTGTTTACATAATGTTCTAAGATTCTAATCCTTAATCAACCCAAAAAGAAAGAAACAGCAGCCCGGTGTTTTTGTTAAAGATTAGGACTGCTGAAAATCTCTGGCCAGTGAGGATTTTTAAAAGTATTGGATGCAAAGATAAGGGAGGAAAGGCTTAGAATAATCGTGTTTGTTTGTTTGTTTGTTTGTTTGTTTGTTTGTTTGTTTGTTTGTTTGTTTGTTTGTTTGTTTGTTTGTTTGTTTGTTTTTGTTTGTTACTGTAGGCGATCCACGTTTTGCAACATGAAAGTTTGAGTAAAAGATCTCCAACCCCCCCCCCCCTCCCCCCCCCCCAGTCGTTCTCTTTGCACACCTGTCCCTTGTTCCACTGCTGTACAACTTTGTTTTTGTAATAGTTTTATGGCACTAGCAACACTACTTTGATTTTTGAGCAAAGAGAATCACATCGACGTAATTACAGTCATTTAGTGCAAGGCAGAAGCGAGACAGGTGGATAGAAACAACAGAAGTATGAAGGCATACCAGCGGCGCCTTCCAACCACCCACTTCTAACTCAGTTAGGACATAATAATTATATTATATAATATATATGTGATGAAGATTAGAGGCGTTATTGAGAATAACAAACGCACATCCAAAAAATAAAGAATAGATCAGGACTCAGGACAGTAAAGTATGTTTGATGGGAAAGAAGAAGCAAACCACACCAGAGCACCCTCCAACAACCACCCTCACGGTACAACACTGTTTAAGACGTCGTGTTCAACTATGTTGAGCAGTTTTCCCCAAGGTTGCGGCTCCGTTTTATAGTTCACGTTAGGTCGTGTGTCCACGAGACCGTAACGACCCGATTTTATGTCTAGAAGAGGCATTTCGGTTAGTTTGTTTCCGGAGTACGTGTCCACAAACGTGCGGTTAGGGCTGGGCAATGAGTCGATTTAGCAAAATCAGGATAATATGTTTGTGCACCTCTTCTGCAAATAATAATATGTTATGAAACGCTTCGACAAACGGGTTAGAACAACTTCAACAACTGGGTGCACCCA